CCCTACAGCAGCCCATCCAAATTTCCGAACATTTCCATGCAAATTGCACGTTTCCCAAATTGGGATACCAGGCGAACAGAAATCAGCAGCAAGCAACTGAAAACTGGTATAAACTGTTATAAAAAGTCCAAGTTTCGAACCATTGATCTTGGAGTAACCGAAGACTCAAACCAGATGTGACCATATTGTAAATTTTTTGGCTAAAATGTTGCTTAAATGCAGCTGGGCACACTGAAACTGACTTTGCATCAGTGATGCTCATCTATCTATTTTGTCCCAATAAAGAAATATAGCTAGATGAGCATCACTGCCATTAAGCCTGATATATTGCCTCCCAATATTGCAAAATTGCTACATGAGCATCACTGATGCAAAGTCTGATTTTATAGCCTCCCAATATTGCAATATAGCCAGATGAGCATCACTGCCATTAAGCCCGATTTTATAGCCTCCCAATATTGCAATATAGCTAGATGAGCATCACTGATGGAGATGAGCATCACTGATGCAAAGTCAGTTAAATTCAAATTTGACAGTTAAATTCAAATTCAAATTTGGCAGTTACAACATTTAAAAAAATTTAACAAATTCTAAAAAAAAATTCTAAAAAATATAAAAAATCGGAAAAAAATGTTAAAAATTCAGACAAAATTTTAAAAATTCAAAAAAGTTTTAAATATTTAGAAAAACAAAATTTTTTAATTTAGAAGAATTGTAAAACATCCGAAAAAATGTTTAAAATTCAGAAAACAAACGCCTTCACAAAAAAATTTCACATTGAATTCACCATCCTAAAATTATATAAAATTACTTTATAGGGTGGGAAAGGTTTCCATCACTGCGTTACAAATTTCTGACTGAAATTATAATACCCTGCAAGGGGATAAAAATATCATTCCTAAGCCAAAAAAGCATCAAAATCAATTCTGTAAGCATTTCTATGCTAGTTTTTTCTAGCTTTAGAAATCTGCATATTACATTTTAAATTAAAAAAAATCGAATTTTTGGTCGATTTTTGAGAATTTTGATGATGTAACCCCTTATCAATTTTTGAAAAAATGAACAAAACATTTTTTCTTTCCTGACATGGCTAGAAAGAATCGCCTGTTGATGCTGATCAAGAATATATATGGTTTATAGGGTCGGAAATCATTAAAATTGTCAAAAATTCGAAAAAATTTAAATATTTAAAATCTTTAATCTAAGTAAGCTGATTTATTATTTTAATTAAAACTAATTTTGTGCAGTTTTCCGAATTACAAAAAGATAATTTTTAACTTAGTTATGCATTTTTTAAACTTTAATTTCCCCGAAAAAAATTATATAAAAATGTATCGATATAAAAAATGAGAAGTCAATGACTTTCAGAAGTCATATTTTTTCCGATTTCCCCTTAAAATCCTAATTAAAAAATAATAATAGATTGTAAAACATATTTTTAGGAATATGAATGATTTGTTAACTGATTAAAAGATTAAGAAAAGTTTACAAAATTTAAAGCAATGATAATAATAACTTGGCTTATTTTTAAAATAAAGTTAATAAACTTTCCCGATAAAATAACTAATTTTAATCGTTCTATTTATAGATCTCATTCTTTTTAAATTTCCTTAAAAATTTAAATAAAATTGTAATCATGAAATATATACAAATTTTTCCCCAGTGCATGGCAGAGTGGGGCCAGGACCTATCCTTAGTTTGCATGTTCGCCCGGCTCATTCTCCGTTTGTTGTGCCTGCCTGGCCTGTGGCTAGGTGTTGTTGTGCGCTGTTCGCTGTTTTTATGCCATTATCAATCGATCGAACGCGAGCTGCATTTGCTTAGCGGTTTAAGTGAGAGCCGCTGGAAAATCGGACATCGCATATTGCTAATAAATATTCAGCTGCAGTGGATTATGTTGTGTGTGTCCCGGTGACAAACTGTATCTAACAAATGTTTGCAGAGCAGGGCACCGCAGTCGGGCTTTCATTAGCCGGGTCGAACTTTAAGCCAGCTTCAAGTGGAGTTATTCATAAGAGCGAGAGACTCCACTTGGCTGCAGTGCAGCTGTGATTAATATCCCAGGAATGCAGTTTATTGTTGCAGTTGCGCCACTGGTTGCGAGGGGGGTTCTTGGGGTCAGGCACTGTCAGAAAATAAATTCTAAAATATTTAAGAGAGCTAAAGCAGGCCTAGTCAATTATTTATTAATGTTTCTTACTATTTTTTGTATAATTTAATATTTATTTTTTGTTTCAAACAATTTTCTCCCAGTGCCTTGACTTGGTTAAGAGACTCGCATCTCTTTCTAAGGCCGCAAGGCGACGCAAATTTGTGTGCATTATATATTTTTTCTTTTTGTTGAATTTCTCTGGGCTTCTTTCAGATATTTTTTCTTTATTTTTTTTCTATACTTTTTGGTTTTTCCTCAGCTATTTTAGCTCAGTTATAAATTACGCCGGCCAAAGGCAGAGGAGTCATTTTCCGCGGCGGAGCTGGCGGAGTGTGTATACGCGGGGCCGTGTGTGTTGCATAATCTGAGCGCTGAAATCTTTGGCATCCACTCGGGAGAGGAGCACATAGAACAATAGCCAGGGATCGCGGCGCACAATGGACTACACCGCCGAGTGACCGCCACTCTCATAATAGAGTCATAAAATTTTAGTGCGCCGCTGAGCCCGCTTCGCCTTTCGCCGGGGAACCCCCCGTGGCGTCTCGTCTCGCTTTGCTGGCCATTGTCCCGACCATTTACTCGGCCCATAGAAAAACATATAATTGTGATTAATTATACGACATAAAAATGCTTTAGATTCAACATTTTGATGCATTTATTAACCGAAAAATCACTTGAAATAAGCGGCTCTCGTCCATTTATTTATCCGCTGCTCTATTATCAGTCGTAATAAAAACAAAGTTTGCCTTTCGGTTTTTGGGGCGTGGCCTTAGCTGCCGGGATCCCGGTATTCAGTATTTATCGATTATCCACGATAATGCCCGAAATGTAAATAGGCAGTTGTGAAAATCGATAACCATCGTGGAGAGATGCTATCAGGAGGCATCTTAGGGTTAAGTTTATTTGCGTTTCATGGCCTAATGGCTATAGCTTTGGGTCTTGATTTATGGCAAGTTGCTTGTTGTTTAAATTTAATTTGAATAGTAAGAGCTCCTTAAACTACTTTCAAGATTTACCTACTTTTGCATAAGATGATATATAAATATTTAGAAATATATTTAAAATATCTCTATGATTAATATAGAGACTCGATTTCTTGACTTACTTACCTTCTGATGAAGCTGGTTCCTACTCCTTCTCTAACTCCCCTGGCTGGGACCTTAATTGAGTTCATACGGCGCATTTTTGATTGTCAGCGATGTTGCGGAACGGCGAACATTGTGGCCCAGGCCGGTGGACAGGATGGACGCCGACAGGGAGCTCTCGCACTGCTCGCACAATGGAGCTCAAGAGCTGAGGAGCTACCAAAGAGCTGGGGCATCGTTATCACCGCGAACATGGCAGCACATGGGAATTGCAAGCTCGGCTCTTTCCTGGTGACAACCGTCAAAAGCGGCGGCTCTGGGCCGAAAAACAATGAATGGCAGGGAGGCTGGGAGGACTCCAACTCCGACTCGTACTGGTACTCGTACTCGGACAAGCAGAATCCCTGACAAGAGCAATCCATCCGCTGGTGCTGGGAGGCACAAAGGCAAAGGCATTTCATGCTCATCAAATGCGTTGACATTGAACAATTGCGCGTAATGTTGTCGTACACTTGACAAGCGCGCAAATTGTAGTGCTACCTGTACTTGGGCCACCGCTCGAATCAAAGCGAAAGCAGCTCCAGACTGCAAGCCCAATCCCAAACCCAATCCCCCATATCGATCTACGTTTGGTCTAGCCGAAAAGCAGCAGTCAACTGCGATTTTTTGATGGAAATTGGCAGAGTTGTCTGTCTGCGACGACGTCTGTTGCGGCCTTAATGAAGCCAACGACGACATTCACCGGACAAGCTCCGATTTCTTGGCCCTCTCTCCTCTTCTATCTTTATATATGTATATCTTATATAGATCTCCTACATGTCGGAGTACTGGCCAAATACGCTAAACGCTATCCAGATTAATAAGTCCTTGATGTGGGTGATGTGGAGTACACCAGGCGAAGCGATAGCTAAAGTCAAAAGTCACCTACGGTAAGACGTTCTGGGCGATATATGTCTAAGGAAACACTGGGAGAAAAGTGTGGGAGGTACTCTGGGAGAGATTCCAGAATATAATATGAGGAAAAGTTAACTATAAATGAGTATTGGAGCTTGAAATAAAATAAATCAAATCATCAATTAATCAAATAAATATTTTAAAATGTTTCCTTTTTATTCTTTATATTTTCTAAATTTCTTAACCCAAGAAAACCCAAGTTTTCCCATAAGATATGTGAGTTTTTCCGCTCAGTACCCTAGCCTTGTGCGCTGCACCTTCGACATTGTGGCTACCAAATTTGGCAAAGGCAATATTTTGTTCGTTTGGCAGGCCGTTAGAGATTTGCAAAAAGGTAAAACTGTAAAATGCATTTCGGCCTGCCTTAAATGGAGCGGGGGAAAAGCCAGCCAGAACGCACAAAAAGATAGCGAGGGAAAAGTGCAAACATTGTTGCATTTCCCGCGCGGCTAGCGAAAATTTGCCTTTCAATGCGAACCAAAAACTGCAACTGCCACTGGAGTTGGAATTGGAGTCAACTCGGAATCGGAATCGAAGCCACCACAACAATGGCCAGGCAGAACCCATTGAAGAGGAGGAGGAGGAGTGGACTCTCTGCTCGATAATCGCCTGCTACTGGCTGCTGCTGCTGCTCCCATGATTTTTAAGTGGACGGTATTCCGGAGCAATTCGCCAATAATTGCCGCTGCAAATATGAGTCTTTCCATTTTGCATTTTCCTGTATTTTTCAGCATTTTCCTGTATATTCCTGCCTTTTCCCAGTCCCGACAGCAGCAGCAGCTGCAAAATTCTCCGGTGCAATTGCCGTAATGAGCTGTAAGCTGCTGCGTTATTTATTCAGTAATTCCACACCTTCGAATGCGTATAAAAAGGTTCGGGATTTCAGGGCTATGGGTCACAACTGGATAAGCAGGCTGCAGATATACACAGTGATAAAATGAGTGGACTTTGGCAACGATTGGCGGCGCCCTATGCCGAGGGATGGAGGGTCTTCAAGAACCCAAAGCTTCAAGCGCAGCATACAATTGCTTATTCTACCAGAGATATGATGAAGTAAGGTTCTTAAAAGTATTTATTTAATTAATAAATAAAAATATTTAATACAGAAAATGTATATCTAAGTAATTTAAAGTTTTCTAAGTGGTTAATATAATGAAAAGTAAGAGTGATATATTATAGACTATTATAACTAGAAAATAAATTCTATAAATAATTATAATGCCTTTAAAACTATATAAATAATTCTTTAAAATTTTATAATATTTTTATTCTAGAGCTTTGGGCTTGTACACCAATTCCGAGGAGCGTTTAGATTCCAAAAAAGTGGCCTGGAACTATTTTATCTACATTCAATCCCTAATAAGCTGGTGGTCTTTGATTACTGGAGTATTTGCCTCCGTGGGAGACGTGGTTAGTCTGGGACGTGATCTGGCTTTTTCCATAACGGTTTGCTATTAATATTTTCAATAATGTATCAAGAAACTCACTTCCCTCTTAAAGCTCCTCTTTATCCTGCTCAGAATATTGTTTATTCGCATGCATGCTGATGATCTTGATCAGGTGATTGATGTCCTCGAGGAATTCTATCGCAGGAAACCAATCAGCTCTGCAGCTGAGGAAGTGAGAGCCACAAAGAGATTTCACTTTCTGGCTCTATCAGTTTTGTTGACGCTTTGGACCATCTATATTTTGGCTTTTTGTGTGATAAAGATATCGACGCCCTTATGGATGGAATCGCAGATATTGCCCTTCCATGTGGCCTGGCCCTATGAGCTGGACAATCCCTCAAAGCATCCAATTAGCTATGTCATTATATATTTTTTCCAAGCCACCACAATGGCATTTCTCATGATTTGGATTGGTATTGATGAGAACATGTTGGGGTCTATATTCTTTGAGATGTCAACGGCATTGAAGGTACTAAACACAGAGCTTAAGAATCTCCAGAAGTTCTGTAAGGGGAATGAGCTGCTCCTGGCCAAAGAACTGAAGCGTTTGGCACAGTTTCATCAGAGAATTATATAGTAAGAAATCCTTAATTAAATATAATATATATATTTTTATGGCCTACTTACAGCATCTCGGATCAATGCAATAACATTTTCAAAAGCACCTTCATAATGCAAATGATTGTGAATTTCCTGTTGGTCTCTCTATCAGCCTTTGAGGTCTTGGTGTCCAGGAACAACCCCAAGGTGGTTGTGGAGTATCTCGTTATGATTTCTATGACATTGGGTCACCTCTCCTATTGGTCGAAATTTGGGGATATGTTGACTCAGGAATCCTTGGAGGTGGCCAACGCAGCCTACGAGGCCTACGATCCGCGTTTTGGTTCCAAATCGACGAATCGAGACATTGGTTTGATTATAATGAGAGCTCAGCAGCCGCTGAATATCAGGGGAAGTCCCTTTCCACCTTTCAATTTGGAGAACTACATGGCTGTAAGTGATTTCTTTACTTTAAATTTACAAATAAAATATATTTAATATCTTAAATTTCCTTGACAGATACTGAAGCAATGCTACTCCATTCTGACGCTGCTGCTGAACACCTTGGAATAGTCACAAAATTACAGCTTTACCATTATAAATTACCTTGAATTTTAATCCAAACTAGTTGGAATTTCGTAAATAGTGCTAGCTTTGATTTCGCTAACAGCTTTATTAAAATCTCTCATCGACGATATCTACAATTTTGGGCCACTCCGAAGAAAGTTCTGCACTTTATGCACGCGACCCCCAAAGGTCGCATGTGCTGCAAGTTACGAGTTGCAAGTTGTAGCAAAAGCAACAGCAGCAGCAGCAACAGCAGCAGCAGCTTGGCTATCCCAAGTGGAAGTGGAATAGTAGTCTTTGCCTTCCAAGATTGGGCTCATAAATCGCGCAACTGTGTGGGGATCCCGAACTGGCAGCTGGGAGCTTGCTGGCTGACTGTGCTCCGTCATTAGCTTGATTGAATCTTATTGTTGGCAATTAACCTTCGCAGCGCTGGGGCCAAGTGTCTGAGGTCTCCGATCCTGACATTTCGCTGAGTCCGTTCCGCTCGGAATAACTTCATTTGCCCGGCTGCCACTACATGGCATAACATGTCATCTGCCTGCTGGGCCTCCACGCTAATTGCCAGCGACAAGTAGCCTCAATTAATTAGCGAACGCCAGCGGATTAGGCCAATATCCAATATCGGATAGTGGGGTTTCCCAGATCGAAGGAGCTCCTGGAACATTTGCATCTGCACGAGTCCAAAACCTGCCCCACGAAAAGTAAAAAGTCTCCGAATAATGCTTAACGAATTTCACTGGGTTTCGAGGAGATGGAAGAGCAGTGGTCTCTGGGAGGGATATTTGTGCCTGGAAATAATTTCTTAAAATTAATTAATATAGAAGGAAGTATGGTAATTAATTACTAGATTTTTATAAATTTATTTTACCTATTTATCTTTCAGTAACATAAAAAGAGGCTGCTCTTTAGGATTCAGCTCGTCATGAATTTTAACCAAGAACTCAGCTCTGACTACTCCCTTATTTTTAAGTAGTTATAATAATCATTTTCATTAATTTAGTATTTATTTAGTTTATTAATAGTTAATGCCACTGTACGGCGACAAACTTCAACAGCAAACGATTTGTCAGACGGCAGTTTCTTTTCTCGTTGCAGCTCATTTAAGAGCCCACTTCCTACTTACGTTTGAATATTCGCTGCAGCGAAATGCAATTGCATTTCTGGTCTGCCTGTGTTTGACTCCTTTTGGCTCCTAACCCCCTTCAAAGCTGCCCAACTTCATAGCCGTTTTCCATCTAAATTGCATGCAGCGCCTTTGTCATGACATGACAGCAGCCTAATTCATCATTATGGCTACACGCGGGACACGGGACAGCGAACAGGGGACACGGGATTGGAGTCTGTGCGGATTTGAGAGAGTTTTGTCGCGACTTTCGCTAGACATGAGATGCGGTTTGCATCTGGGCAGCGATCTCCTCGACCGTGATTCATTCATGCGCAGTAGTTGGATTTCTCGCTTGCATGCAGCTGGAGTTGAAGCTGGAGCTGGAGCTGGAGCTGGAGCCACGATGATAATGATGATGCATGCTTAGCTGGTTAGGAGGAGAGGCAGGCTGGGATGCGATGGATGCACTTTAGAAGGCAAAAGTGCACTGTCGATAGGCTGATGATTCGCCTGTCGACATTCAACGAGCCGGGCCAAGACGACGACATTATCGTTTGGTAGAAGTGAGGTAAGTCAGGGAAGTCGGGTTGTTGGGATGTCAGACCCAAACCCGCTTAGTTATTTGTATGGTTTATTATCTCCGCGCAATATCGCGCGTTGTGGGGGCTTGGGAAGTTATTGAAAGACCAAAGACCACAGACCAGACCAGGCCCAAGCCCCTTTGGAAGTTTAGAAAAACTTCTGAGAGACGCACACAGCACACTCTTTGACTCTAAATGGGTTCAAATGGAGTCAAAGACTCAGCGAAAACAAACTGCTATCAAAGGATGTCACTTCTTAAAGTGGTTTTGTCTCAAGCTTAGACTAATTATATTTAGTTTTAAAGTGGAACAGCTTCTTCATTGCCCCCGTTTTGCACTATTTCCGCTTCAGCCAAGCGTATTAACTCTCCAGATCCTTATCGTCTGGCCAAAATCGTGTGACATTGTTAATCGTCCGAGGGGAATAACCGACCCAGTTAGTCACCATTCGTAAAACCAATTTGCCGGGAAACACACAGCAAAAAAGGTGTCAGACATTTGGTATTGAGTTTGGATTTGGATTCAGATTGGGCTTCGGTCTCTTAATCATCGAAGCGCAGAGGACAGGACAAATGCCAGGCACGACTTCATTATTAGGCAGTCCCATATGCACATCATCGCCGGAAGCTCGTGACATGGCCTCCAGTCCAGATTGGGGCTAGTCTGATTAGTTTTCCCTCTCAGCCAACACGAAAATGTCCCTCAAATTTGTTTAGTTCGAGGAGGAGGAGTCATCAGAGGAGAAGGAGTCATGGGAGGAGGAGAAGGAGTCACAAGGGGAGAAGGAGTCACCAGAGGAGAAGGAGTCTTCAGAGAAGCAAAAGTCTTCGTCCAGGACAGAGACCCATTAAATTCCTCCTTGGCTTGGCTGTTGCTAATGAAGTCATAAAACCGCATGACATTTTCGATGCCTCCGCGGATCTCACTTTTCCAGAGAGGACTTACCTCTTCCCTTGGACTTGTATTGTCTGGTGTCTGCGCAGCTCAATCGTTCCAATATGCAAATGTCCAGATCGCCCGTCGCCACCCACAGACTGGGTAGAAACCAGAGAGAAGGAGCGAGTGGCTGAGGGAGACCTCCCTACTACCGATCCATATGACCATATGTCCGTATCGGGCCCGAAATCTTTCGCTTTCGATTAAGCCGAGGTGAGGTTGGGCCTTCCAGCAACCAAGACAGCGAGCTGCAAGCTGCGAGCTGATTTTCTGCATTTCATTTCGGCTTTGGGGATTCGTGCTGGAAATATGCAAAAATGCTGCAATCTGCGGACAGCACGTTCGGAGGGCCTTTCGTGTCATAAATGGCATAAATATTCCTTCTTTCTTGACCGGGCAACCTAAATATTTTAGCAGGCAGGCAGGCAGTCAGGCAGTCAGCACTGCAGAGGCTGCTTTCCTTGATTGTCTTCATAACAATGCCAACTTTCACTTCTCTGGAGATCATTGCGATCCCCAGCGAAATTGAAATTAAATCGTTTTTCATTTTTATGAGCTAAAGGAGAATTATGGATGGAAATGTATATGGTAACTGATTTCATATGTAAATTGGTGCCAACAGCTGTGGGTTTCTCGTAATTACTTCTAGAGTTATTATACTTTATTAGCTCTTCTTGGGTTTACATACTGATAATCAGTTGTGGGTTTAGTTAACTGAAACCCCTTGAAATGGCGGGTTTACAACGCTTTCTGGAATTTTATAAAGAAGGTTGGAGGGTCCTGAGGAATCCTCAGCTAGAAGCACAACACACAATCGCTTACTATTTTCGAGAACAAATGAAGTGTGTTTTTTAAGAGGAATTTGTTTTTATAAAGAACTAAATTCTATACCTTACCAGGGCCATGGTTTTATACACCAACTCTGAAGAACGTCGTCTGCCCTACCGTTCCCTTTGGCACACTTTTACCTTGATTCAATTCTCCATAATGTTCATTACCATGTGTTATGGCTTGACGGAATCGCTGGGAGACATTGTAGAGATGGGCCGAGATCTGGCTTTCATTCTGGGGGTTCGTTTAGGTCTCATTTCAAAATCAAATCAGAACTAATCACAGCCTTATTTGCAGATATTTTTTATTTCATTTAAGATTGTTTACTTTCATTGGTATGCCGATGGCCTGGACAAAGTAATCGATGATCTGGAGGCCCATCATCACTGGCTACGAGAAGGTCCTGGCTACGCAGAAGCTCGAAAAACTAGACGTTGGCACTGTATAATGGTGGTGCCGCTACTAACGCTTTGGTCCTTCTTTATGGCCTTGTTTATCATATTGGTACTTTCATCACCGCTGTGGGTGGCCCAGCAGACCTTGCCCATCCACGCCAAGTATCCGTTTGATTTGCACAACAAGTCCAAGCATCCCAGGACCCACGCTCTTTGCTACTTGTCTCAGGTTTTCTTGCTACCCTACACCTTGGTCTGGCTCGTGTGCATGGAGGGCATGTCAGTGGCCATTTACTGGGAAATTACTGGTGCCATCAAGGTTTTGTGTATTGCTCTAAGGCATTTATCTGAAAAGTGCCAAGGAAATGGGGAGTTACTGAGGAGGGAAGTCAACCGTTTGATAGGGTTTCACCAGAAGATATTAAGGTGAGTGATGTGAAGCTCAAACAAACTATTGAAGTAATAAAATCTCATTTTTTTGTAGCATTCTAGATCGCACCAATGAGGTCTTTCACGGCACTCTCAAGATGCAGGTTATAGTCAACTTTTTCCTGGTCTCTTTATCGGTTTTTGAGGCTCTAATAGCCCGGAAGGATCCCAAGGTGGCCTTTCAATTTGGTGTGCTCATGCTGCTGGCCTTGGGACATCTGTCCTTGTGGTCCAAGTTTGGGGACCTGATGTCACAGGAGTCCTTGGACATTGCTCTGGCTGCCTATGAGACCTATAATCCGCAGTTGGGAAGCAAGATCAGTAGAGATCTGTGTATTATGATAAGAAGAGCCCAGGATCCTATGCAAATGGTGGCCAGACCTTTTCCGCCTTTTAATTTAAAAAATTATACAGCGGTAAGTTGAGTTTTCTGACCTTCAGGGGTCTTAGAATTTTGTGTATTTTCTTGTTAAAATATAACATATTATTAACAGATTTTTAATTAATTTTTTAGATCCTGAAGCAATGTTATTCAATCCTGACGCTGCTGCTAAATACCTTGGATTAATTATGGAACTAACAATATTTTTTTAATAAATTACTTGCTTATAATATATTTAAAAAACCAAGAATAATTTTAATAAATCAACGAATTAGGCCATTAAGTTTAATATGTAAGAAAAGCAGCTGCAACTTTCTCATCCTGTAATTACCTTAAGTGCCCTATTAGCACTCCTTGAGTTAATATAATCAGTGGTTGGTCTTAGGCCTTACCTTATTGGCTTCAGGACTCTATAAGAAATGGACAATATAAAGAGTTTTCTGGGATTTTATAAAAATGGATGGAAGGTTCTATGGAATCCGCAAGAAGAACCCCAGCATATTTCTACCTACAGTATTAGAGAGCAGATGAAGTGGGTGTTTTTTTCACGAAATGTTTTGTACAAGAAACTAATATATAATGTTCATTTTTCCAGAGCCATGGTCTTGTACACAAACTCAGTGGAACGCAGTCTGCCCTATCGTTCACTTTGGCACACATTTATGGTGTTTGCAATAACTTTTATTTTCTTGACATTGTGCTTTGGGCTGAAGGAATCCTTGGGAGACCTCGTGGAAATGGGTCGCGATCTGGCCTTCATTATTGCGGTTTGGAAATGTTATATACCAAGCTTGAATTTAGGTTTATAAAATCCCTTTTTGCAGACATTCTTTATTCATTTCAAGCTCATTTACTTCCATTGGTATGCCGATAGTCTGGATGAGGTAATCGATGAGCTGGAGGCATGTCATCAGTGGCTGAGAGAAGGACCTGGTTCCGCCGAGGCTCGTTCAGTCAGACGTTGGCACTGTATTGTGTTCTTTCTGATGGTCATTTTTTTTTCGTTTTTTACGGGAATTTTTGTGATATTACTCAACACAACACCCTTGTGGGTGGCCCAGCAGAACTTGCCCCTCCACACGATTTACCCCTTTGAATGGCACAGCAGGTCTAAGCACCCCATAGCTCATGGCATAAGCTACCTAACCCAGGCCGTGGTGCTCACCTATGCCATGATTTGGCTTTTGCTCATAGACGGATTATCTGTGTCTATATATTTTGAGATCACCTGTGCCATCAAGGTGCTGTGCATTGAACTTCGTCACGTAACAGAAAAGTGTCAAGGAAATGGGGAATTGCTGAGGAGGGAAGTGAACCGTTTGATCGGACTTCACCAGAAAATATTAAGGTGAGTAAAGGGTAAAATAAAATATAATTGTGAAGTATAAAATATTATTTTTCTGTAGCATTCTAGATCGCACCAATGAGGTCTTTCACGGCACTCTCAAAATGCAGGTGATAGCCAACTTTTTCCTGGTCTCTTTGTCGGTTTTTGAGGCTCTGATGGCCCGAAAGGATCCTAAGGTGGCCTTTCAATTTGGTGTACTTATGCTGCTGGCCCTGGGACATCTATCTATGTGGTCCAAGTTCGGTGATATTATGTCGCAGGAGTCTTTGGACATTGCTCTGGCTGCCTATGAGGCCTATGATCCGCAGATGGGAAGCAAGATCAGTAGAGATCTGTGTATTATGATAAGAAGAGCCCAGGATCCTATGCAAATGGTGGCCCGACCTTTTCCGCCATTTAATTTAAAAAATTATACAGCGGTAAGTTGAGTTTTATGACCTTGAAAGGTAATGAAATGTGTTGCATTTTTAATTAATTTTTTAGATCCTGAATCAATGTTATTCTATCCTGACGCTGCTGCTAAATACCTTGGATTAATTATGGAACTAATTATATTTTTTCAATAAATAACTTGCTTATAATATATTTCAAAAACCATGAATAATTTTAATAAATAAATAGATTATGCACTTCATTTTAATATGTAAGAAAAGCAGCTGCAACTTTCTCATCCTGTAATTACCTTAAGTGCCCTATTAGCACTCCTTGAGTTAATATAATCAGTGGTTCGTCCTAGCCCTTACCTTGTTGGCTTCAGGACTCTATAAGATATGGACAATATAAAGAGTTTTCTGGAATTTTATAAAAGTGGATGGAAGGTTCTATGGAATCCGCAAGAAGAACCCCAGCATATTTCTACCTACAACTTTAGAGAGCAGATGAAGTGGGTGTTTTTTTTTCACGAAATGTTTTGTATGAGAAACTAATAATATATATTTTTCCAGAGCCATGTTCTTGTACACAAACTCAGTGGAACGCAATCTGCCCTATCGTTCCGTTTGGCATACTTTCATAGTGTTTGCAGCATCTTTTGTTCTCTTGACATTGTGCTTTGGGCTGAAGGAATCCTTGGGAGACCTCGTGGAAATGGGTCGCGATCTGGCCTTTATTATTGCGGTTTGAAAATTATATATTACAAGCTCGAATTTGAGTTAATCAAATCCTTTTTTGTAGACATTCTTTATTTATTTCAAGCTCATTTACTTCCATTGGTATGCCGATGGCCTGGATGAGATAATCGATGAGCTGGAGGCTTGTCATCAGTGGCTGAGAGAGGGTCCTGGTTCCGCAGAGGCTCGTACAGTCAGACGTTGGCACTATATAGTGATGTTTGTGATGATTATGGTGTGGTCCTTTTTTATAGGAGTTTTTGTGATATTACTCAATACAACACCTTTGTGGGTGGCCCAGCAGAACTTGCCCCTCCACACGATTTATCCCTTTGAATGGCACAGCAAGTCCAAGCACCCCATAGCCCATGGCATTAGCTACTTGACCCAAGCCGTGACGTTATCCTATGTCCTGGTTTGGCTCCTGATCATGGAGGGAATGTCAGTGTCTATATATTTTGAGATCACCTGTGCCATCAAGATGCTGTGCATCGAATTTCGTCACGTAACAGAAAAGTGTCATGGAAATGTTGAGTTACTGAGGAGGGAAATCGACCGTTTGATCGGACTTCACCAGAAAATATTAAGGTGAGTAAAGGGTAAAATAAAATATAATTGTGAAGTATAAAATATTATTTTTTGTAGAATTTTAGACCGCACCAATGAGGTCTTTCACGGCACTCTCAAAATGCAGGTGATAGCCAACTTTTTCCTGGTCTCTTTGTCGGTTTTTGAGGCTCTGATATCCCGAAAGGACCTCAAGGTGGCCTTTCAATTTGGTGTGCTCATGCTGCTGACCCTGGGACATTTATCGATGTGGTGCAAGTTCGGTGACATTATGTCGCAGGAGTCCTTGGACATTGCTCAGGCTGCATTTGAGGCCTATGATCCAACCTCAGGTTGTAGTGGAGTTAAGAGAGACCTTTGTCTCATAATTAAAAGAGCCCAGAATCCTATGCAAATGGTGTCAAGTCCATTTCCGCCTTTTAATTTAATTAAATATACGGCGGTAAGTGGATATTTATAGTTGAAAATCTATAATTAATCTTCTTTATATTATAAATATTTTTAGATATTAAAGCAATGTTATTCAATCCTCACGCTGTTGCTAAAGACCATGGATTAATTCTACAATTTCACCTAAAATATAAAATATTTTAAAAATGTATTAACCCAAATAAAGTAAAACAATACGTTTTTAATATGATTTTGTTTATTTTTTTCTTGCTTTTTGTGTTTTTTTCTTTGTTATTTTCGATTTGTATTTTGTGTGCCTAAATTATTTCTGCACAATTTAATGAATTTGTTGCGAAAACTATTTATTTTGTTTTGTTTCGTTTACATTTCCACGCAATTAGTTGGCTAATCTAAACATTGGAACATTCTGAGTTGCTCGTAGTAATTTTTGTTCGCTCCGCCTCCATTCATTTCCATTATTTATTATTTACTGGATGTTTGAGTTTATAATTATAAATGCTAATTACGATTATTGTTGTTGCGGGACAGATGTAGCGAAGGAGAGAGCGAGTGAGAGTGAGAGAGGGTGCATTTAATGAATAAATATTTAAAATACAATATTGCAGTTGTTCTTTCATCTGGCTAAACTAAATAAATCGAATTAATTAACTGGCTTAAACATACTTTCTCCCTCATTTTTGTACATAGCAACGTTGTGACTTAAATGACTAGTCTTTGGTTGTGTGTTATTCATTATTATTAATATGATTACGTTTCAAAATGAAAACTTGAACTTTGCGTTTGCTGTGAAGAGGAATGTTTTGCTTTCGTTTCGCTGGCTTTAGTTTTTATTTTACTTTCCGATAATGCAAATACTGCCATATTTAGTTGAAGGAGAAACAACTTGGTGTGTGTGGCATGCCCCCTTAGTTAATTGCTAATTGGAGCAGATTGCAAAAAAATATTTACAATTTATGTACAATGGCGCGAGTTTACGTTTACGTTTTTATAAGTATTTTTTTGTTTACGTTGAGTTTGTTAAGTTTGATTGTTTTAAGTACTTTTTTGTTGGCTTCTGCTGTTGTTTGGGTTTACATGTTTGATATGCTTGTCATGAGTTTCTGTTTTTACGAGTGCCTCTATTCGAGAAATGCAAATGCTATTAGCTGCTTGAGCGCGTAATTTGATTAATGTTTTAAAGGATGATTTTGCGAGTTTATAAATTCTCAAATATATTTGCCTTAACTTTGCTTTTCCAGCTACCAGCTGCTGGTTACACTTAACCACACTCTCAGCTCAAAGCCGAAAATGTCCATTTAAACATGGGGACTCGACGTGGTTTATACCCCTTAGAGGGGCTTACTACGGCCCCCCAGGGGATTGTGTCGAACACGCCCGAAAACTGCGATTTAAACTTGTGGCAGAGCACGCCCTTTATTTGCTTTAATCCGACCAAAATCCCCGTTTCGATGCCGAGCGGCAATAAAGGATAAAACGTGGCTGGCATGTAAAGGACATGTGTGTGTGTGTGTGCTCTCTCTTAGCCTCCTTCTCCCGTTCGATAGTTTGCGAACCGGAAGCGGAAGTGACACTAAATTCGTTTCGCTGCGGAGTCCTTCTCGGATGAACTGGCGCAAAATAAACTCGACAAAATTGTTACGTGTAATCCCCTTTATGATCTGGCGCCGCCCGTGTGCTCCGCATCTCAAGTGGCTGAGAAGGACGACCTCTACTGCTGCTGCTGCCATATCCAGGAGCAGTCCTGGCCCGTCTCTCAGCTGGCTATGACCATGCTGGCCGCTGTGGCTGCCGGGGGCCACTGACTACCTCCAGCTGCCTCCCTGGCCATAGGCGTGGACTCCACGGAGGACAGGGAGCTGCTGCTGTTGGCCGAATGCAGGATCTGCGGCTGGTGATACTCCGGCTCCTCGTAGGCCGCATCCTCGTCACAATCCTGCTGCTGCTGCTGCTGCGGATACAGCGGCACATGATGATGATGATGCTGGTGCTGATGGGGATGATGCAGGTGCTGCTGCTGCTGGAAGGGATGGAAGTAGTGACTCGACGGGGCAGACGGAGCAGCCACCTGGCTTCCAGACTGAGCAGTGGGCGACTGGGGATGCTGCAGGGTCAGCGGCAGGGGCAGCACCACCGGCAGTGGCTGCAGTCCCCGGATACTGTCCGCCGGGTGAGCCGTGTAGATGTTGCTTCGCCGCAGGTGGTTGTTGTTGATGTTGCTGCTGCTGCCGCCATGATGGTGATGATGATGGTGGCCCGGGTGGTGGCCAGCAGCTCCTCCCGCCGCTCCACCGGCGCCGCCATTCGCACCGTTCAGCCCATTCGCGTGGGCGCGCTTGTTGCGTGACCACCACTGCACGTGCGTGTCTGGAGGGGGAAATCCCAGGAATGGAGCCGGAAAATAGAGGAGAGCAGAGAGGTAGACGAAGGTGGTTAGTGGGCAGGCAGGAGCACAGTTGCGACAACAGTCGCCGACTGTTTTGAGAGTCAACAGCGGTTAAAAGGGCCAGCAAAAGGGGCACAGTGGAGGCACAGTGGGTCTCTGATAGTAAAAATGTAATTAAAATATTTTAAGACTTTTTCTAAGATCATAAAAATATATTTGAAATGGTTTATATCCTAAAATCCTTAAATTTAGATTTTATTTACATTTTTATACCCTTGCAGAGTATTATAATTTCAGTTAGAAGTTTGCAACGCAGTGAAGGAGACGTTTCCGACCCTATAAAGTATATATATTCTTGATCAGCATCAACAGGGGAATCTTTCTAGATATTTCAGGAAGAAATCGATTTTTTTGCCATTTTTGCGAAATTTGATAAGGGGTTACATCATTAAAATTAGCAAAAATGGCAAACAATTTTGATTTCTTAAAATTTTAAATTTGGTATGCAGTTTTTTTAAATTAATAAAAACTAACACAAAACTGCTTTCCGAATCGAAATTAATGCATTTTTGGCATAGTTATGATATATTTTAATTGCAAGGGTATACAAACTTTGGCTGGCCAAAGTTAGCTTTCTTTCTTGTTTGTATTACTAATTATCAAATCTGTTTCTATAAATTTAGTTAAAATTTTGTTTTGCTGGTTTCTCTTCTATTTTTACCCACTGTGCCTGCTGTGTTTGCTTCGCCGCCCACCGGTGTTGGCCATGTTGGCTGTGTTCCCTGTGTTGGCCATGTGAGTACTCACCGTTGCGATTGTTGGAGGACTTTTTGCGCCGGCAGCGCACCACGGCAATCATGATGATGGCGCCTAGCAGCGCCGACAACACGGACACGATGATCAACGTCAGTGGCCAGCCCAGTTCTGTGGCCTTTTCTGCAAAAACAAAGCAAAAGACGTAGGGGAAAACAGTTAGTAACGGGAGACACGCAGCTTTCAAACACAGAAAAAAACTAAAAAATAAAGGAGATTTTAAAGACTTGTTTTTAAAACAAAGGAGGAAAAACCTTTCATTTTATTATATTTTTATATATTTTTATAACAAAAGAAAATTTATAGAAATTTTCCCAATTTTGGTATCTCCTCCCTTTGTTTCCCAAGTATTTATGCAAATTTTTAGCTCACTTACCTATCGTCCCCTCAAACATGAAGGTGCTCTTGGTGGGCATCGCCCAGGAGCAGAGGTCGCATGTGGTCAGGCCGTCACTAAGGACGGGCTCGTCCACAAAGAAGGGCGGCCTTGGCGGGGGCGGTACGAAGCGACCGTTCCAGAGGCCATTCTCGCTGCCATCGAAGGCCATCGGGGAGCCAAAGAGGTCGTCATCGTCGTCAAAGAGGTCGAAGGTCACGTCGCCAAAGCTGCTCAAATCCTCCGCCGAACTGCTGGCCACCAGGCTCTCAATGCGCGGGGGACTGAAGGTGGGAAAGGTGGCCTGGGAGGCGGATGCGGATGCAACTTGATTTACAACGTAACTGAGACGAGCATCGTTGCCACCGCCACCGCCACTGCTATTGCCTACGGATGGCATTTTCCTGGGCTTATCCGTAGCGTAGACTTTTCCGGAATCCTTTGCTGCCACCTCACGCTTATTGCCAGTTATCGCCTTTGTCAGTCGCTAGTCCTCCTCCTCCTGCAGCTGGCTGCTCATGGTGAAGGCTTCGGCTGGGCTCTTTTACTCTGCAAGGAAAATGCAAACGAAAAGAGTTAGTTTTGCCAATTAAATCCTTAATTGCGCAGTCAGTGTTTGCAGGGGGAGAGAAGAAAAGCGAGGAGAAGCAAGAAAAAGCTAGGAAAAGCGAGCAAAAGACAGCAGAAGAGAAGCTTTCACATTTTTCACAAGCGTGTATCCGTATCTGTATCTCTGAGTGGTTCTAATCCTGGCCACGTTAACATTCCCTCTCGCCTGTCAGCAATCGTTTCTCAATGGCTTCTCTTCGCTTGCAACCTATTTCCAATTTGTATTGGCAAGTCCCTCGCCTCCTCCCCCGCTACGCTTGTCGTTGGAAATTGAATTTTTGAGCAGTATCTGCCAGATACTTCGAGTAACTACACACACACACACGGAAGAGGATGTGGATAGGACACATGGCAGGCAATCCTAACAAGAACTGACAGCTTGACAGCTCGATATCGGGCTAGAAGTCAGCATTAGTTACAGTTGCGAGTCAGACAAACTCCCCCGAATTTGCTTTATTAAAAACATCCTCGAGCGACTCTCACTCGGCTCCTGGAACTTGATTTGCAGCCTCCGAATAATCCTGATAAATTAACACTAATTTGCGAGTAAAAGATACTGACTCCCTCCCAGGCAGGTGAAAATCAGGTAGAGTGCCAGAGCTTCGTTACTCGAATGACGACTCCTGCTGGAGGAGGAGCAACTCAAAAGCAAATAAATCTGTTTCACTCCACTTGGAACCCTTTCACAAACTTCTCCCTACCTACCAGCAGCTTCCTTTTTTTCCATGTTTTTTTTTGGGATTTTTTTTTACGCTTAAACTACTCTTTTTCCTGCCGTTACCAGGCCATCAGAGGCCGACACGTTTCAGACATTAGCCGCCCAGACTGCCGAAATTTTCAACGCTTTTCGCGAGGAGTAAATGGAAAATGCATTCCGGTTCAGAGTAAAATAAAGAAAGAGTAATATGAAAATTTCAAAGATTAGAGAGAGGAAAAAATGGTTAAGAAAATATTATATTTAAAAGTTGAATTATTATAATTTATAAAGGAAAAAAATATTATATTTAAAAGTTGAAATATTACACTTTTTTAAAGAAATATTTTTAGGGTGTAAGGAAAATTATAAAAAATTATTTATCAAGAATCCTAGATCCTTTTTAGAAAGGAGCAACCTCTAATGCATCAGTATTCTAGAAATATCTACAGTTTGGTGCTAGAAACAGTTGGGAATTCTAAGAAAAAGCTAGCGGAAAGTACTTTTTGTGAACCTTTATTATTTTTATACCCTTGCAGGGTATTATAATTTCAGTCAGAAGTTTGCAACGCAGTGAAGGAGACGTTTCCGACCCTATAAAGTATATATATTCTTGATCAGCATCAACAGCCGAGTCGATCTAGCCATGTCCGTCTGTCCGTCTGTCCGTCTGTCCGTCTGTCCACCTGTCCGTTTCTACGCAAACTAGTCCCTCAGTTTAAAAGCTATCTGAATGAAACTTTGCATATAGTCTTCTATATACTCTCACTGCTATATATGTCGGAACGGGCCGGATCGGACGACTATATCATATAGCTGCCATACAAATGTCCGATAAATTTTTAGAAAAAAAATTATAACTTTGCTGTTTTTCAATATATTTGCACCATTTTTTAGATATGGCCATTTTATATTATTTCTAAATTTTGGTAAAAATTTTATGAAAATCGGACGACTATATGATATAGCTGCCATAGGAACGTTCGGGAAATTAATAGGAAAAAAATTATAGCTTCGTTGTTTTTCAACGTATTTGTATCTACTCTGAGATATAGGCTTTTTTTATTGTTCTAGGATTTTGGTATAAATTTCATAAAAATCGGACAACTATATCATATAGCTGCCATATAAACCGATCGGTAGATGTATACAAAATGTAAAGCTGGGAATGCAAAACTGTAACTGTCAAACTGTAAACATAATAAGTATAGGTAAAATGTAATGAAATAATATCTGCAAGGGTATACAAACTTCGGCGTGCCGAAGTTAGCTTCCTTTCTTGTTTAACTAGAAACTAGTAGTACTAGACATATTTTCTTCTAAAATATTAATTCTTTATTTATTTATTTTTTGTTTATACATATTCATAATCGCTCACATTTTTTCTCCCTCTGCACTTTTGCCACGCGCTTAATTACAGAAATATACGTATGGCACACTCGTTTGCTGAATAAAAAACATAAAAATCCAGAGAAGAGTTTTATGCCACTTGCTCAAAATAATACTTCATATGCAGAAATGCATCCGCGGAAATTCTGGCCAGGGCCGAGAGCTCCGACTAAGCGATATTTAGTCATTCTTGAAAATGGGAAAACGTGAGGCGCATAAATTGACGCCGCCGCCGCGGACCCAAGAGCTGCCTGGAAAACCGAACTGAACTGAACTGAGCTCAGGCTTCACGCAAGCGAAAATTGCGAATCCAACTGCGAATCTCTGGCTTCATTTTTAGTATGAATGAACGCAGGAGCTTTGCGAGGAGACTTCTGGCGGGGATTGGGGAGCACACACCCCGGTGATGGAGAGATACCGACCCAAGCTGTGTGGGTGGCGGCAATTCCTCTCCTTCTACACGCTGACTCGGGCTATTAATAAATTTATTTTCGCTGCATGCTTGAAATAAATTGTAGAGTCACGTGAGCCGTGAGCTCAGCGCACTTTGATTTGCCTTTGACGGGGCGAAACCCGGCCAACCTCCTCCGGACCTGGCAATCCGGCGACAGCTGTCAGCTGCCAGTGCGTGGGTTCCATTCTCCCCCGAAAAAAAAAAAAAAGAAAACCTCCAGCCATCTGGCAACTGGAACTCTGTGCCCCTCCTGCTCTTGCCCCTGTGTCTCCCCAATTGAATGTCCAAAAGCGCGTCTTCAGTTTCAATCGGTTTTGCGTGGAAACGTGCCCGCCGGCGGCTTCCTCTGTTTGCCAATTGAATGGAGGTTGAGTTGAGTTGAGTTGCGCTCCGTTGAGGAGGTGGAATTGGTGGCACCGCCCACCAGCATCCAGAAAATAAACAAACAGGAAAACCCTGAAAAGCGCAGTTACTGAGACACTGTCGAACATAAAATACCCTGTGCACTGTTAAAGGTCATCAAAGGCTGCTACTAAAAGTTGCTCTTTTTAAAGGAATTCTTTTGTTGAAATAAATTGAAACTTGGTTAGGGAATAGAGTGAGCTTTAAGCCATAAATCTTGAGATTTATTTCCATATTAGCCGCAGGGTTTTAGAGTTAATTATAGTTTTAAAACTAGAAGCGGTTTAAGGATAAATTTAGAATTTTTCTAGCCTCTGTACCAAGAATCTCCTATAAAAATCTCACATCCTGCTGCCACAATCGATATTCTCGCAAATTCACGCATCGCTGGGAAGCGAAAAGCAATTACACATGTCCTATTCAATTCCAGGCAGCCATTCATCGATTCAATATTTATATTTTCGTCCCTCCCCCAAAATCCCACTCGCTCCCAGCTTCAGCTTTTTAATTAGTGCGAAACGTTTGTACATTATTTTCATTTATGATTCGCCGGTCCACTTTTATTTGCACTCAAATATGAGCATGTAGAAATTAATATTGTAGCCAGCAGAGGGGAAAGTTTTTGCACAAAACAGTTGAGAGAATTGCCGAAATGTTTGCCATGCGAGAGTTGGCTTTTCATTTAACACAGGCAGCAGCATCCCTCCCCCCGGAAAACTTAATTACCTAAATATGTGAGCGAACTAATTCCAGGCTCAGTGGGGGATTCCCATTCGAAGACCTTCAACTACATGCAGGCAAAAATATAAAATGTTTTCGGAATAAATAAGCCATATTTCACAACATTTAATTAAAGGTCTTAATCGCTGGAATTATTTATTAAAAATCCCCAGTGATAAGCGACACTGGAAATAAATAAAATGGCATCGCATTTAAAGGCGGCTTTAAGCCACAAAAGGTCAGGCGTGGGGGATGCTTTAAGCCAGGAAGTCAGGCTACAAAAATTGGCCCATTTCAACCTCAAAGTCAGAAGGACTCCGACGTGCCGCCGCTGAGAACGTGTCTGGACTAAATGTTCTACGTAATTTGTTCTAATAATGAAGAGGAAGCTGCCTTCAAATAATTGACTCAACTTTTGCTGGCCAATATAATATTATTTGGCCAGAAGAGGGGGGAGCTCTCTCCCCGCTATTCCCATGCATGAAAATTGAAATTTTATTCAAATGTCCAGTCTCCGGGACAAGTACTCAGCGAGGCAGATAAAAGTGACAGCTTTCGTTGGATTTACATAAATTATGAGGACGAGATCTACGGCCCCCCCACCGAAAAGAGAAAAGGAAAGCAGGGAAACATACTATATAACCAAAATGAGTTGATTTGTATGCGCGACTGAACGAAATGGAAACTAATAGAGTTGTATAACGAGTTGCAGGGGGGAGGAGGGGGAAAAACTGGTAACTGGTAAGGAAAACCGCAGGGCTTGCTCTTTATTTTTATTTTCCAAGCCATCGGCAGCTGATAAACTTGGAGTTTTTATTGCCAATTCAAATTCAAATGGAAATGCACAAAATGCTGGCTTGGAATTTCTCTGTGGGATCGATAGAAACTGATTCGATGCGATCGATAGATCGATTTTGATTTTGAAATAACCCTAATGAAGTTGAGAGAGATAAGACTGCAGATTAGGTTTTACAACTGTCTTGAACATTTCTTAGTTTTCCAGAAAGCCAGTTAAGATAAGAACTTGTTGTCCAGACTTTATAGCTCCGTTAGGGTTTTATCTAGGGAGATAAGTATATCTCAAGTAAGTTTTTTTAAGAAGTATTCATTAAAGATTCCCCCCTCTTTTGGGTAGAGAATTGTTAATGCTAGTTAATGCTGTCTTGGCTTATGTCAAAATTGATGAAACTCTGAGAGATTTTGAGCTGCTGTGTGGTTCCCCCTTTTACTTGAGACTAAGCCACACACAGCGTGTGGCAGCCGTTCCCAGATTCATAATTT